GGAATCTAAATTTGCAAACTAAACGATGTGTCACCAATGGAAATGAACACATATATCAACGCTTAAGTAATGATTCAATTATCAACTTTCATATCATTTAGTTTACAAAATTTAGTCTCCCTAGCATTCCTCATATAATTTCACCAATAAAAAATACTGAAAATATGACTTTAGCTCCTGAAATTTAATTTTTTTCCACATAAAATCCGACATAAGTTTTTTACTCGAATAAAACCCATTAACTAGATTCCACATCAGCAAATTCATTAATTATATTTGACTTTACACATTTAAAAAATTTTTATGCCCAAAACACCCCTATTTGAATGTTTGATTTACACAATTAATTGCATACAAATTGTAAAGGAGAATTAATGATTCCACAAAAATTAAAAAAATAATAAATTCATTGCCTAATATATAATAACAATAAAACATGCCTAATAATGTAGTAATACAAGCTTAGTTAAGTCAATAAAATTATATTTTACATATAAATGTAGGTAAATTATTTCACACACACATATATAACAAACAAACAAACAAAAAAAAAACATGCTTGATATGCAAAAAAATTCATGCAAAAATACTTACCTACATAATAAAGCAAACCCAATATATGCAAAGTACATGCAAAATAATATACCTACATAAAAAATGTTATTATTTTATTCAATACTAGTTTACCTATTATTTGTACATATAATAATAAAATGTGCCCAATATATATATATATATATATGATGATACATACAAAATAAAATACCTACATAATGGAGATATGTTATTTGATTCAAAATTAATTTACATACAAAATAAAGCAATTGTATTTTATTCAAGATTAATTTACCTATTATTTGTACATATATCTTAAAATAATAAAATGTGCCAAATATATGTAATAATACATGGAAAATAAATTACCTACAAAATAAAAGAATATTATTTGATTCAATATTAATTTACCTAAAAAATATATGTTATTTGCTTATCATAAATTTGAATATAGGTAGATTAATTAGTTTAATATGTTTGATCATATATGTAGTAATGTGCATGTGTGTGTGTGTGTGTGTGTGAACGTATAGTAGTATTATATATATATATATATAGGTAAACTCTATATGTGTGTGTGTATATATATAGGTAAACTATATATGTATATATATCTATATATATATATATATATATATATATATACACGCACACGCATATATATTGAGCTTATGGTGTGTGTGTGTGTGTGTGTGTATGTGTGTGTGTGTGTATACATACATACATACACGCATATATATTGAGCTTATGATAGTAATATATACATTTGAACGTATATATGTGAGTAATAACATTTATTGATTTTATTTTGAATATTGTGGTACAAATTGTAAATATTTTGTAATAATACGTCAATTACTTCTATACTTGGCAGTCATTTTTAAATTTGAGTTTTATTTGGATTTTTATAACTAGGTGGGTTTTTTTCTAAGAAATAAGAGTTGCAAGAGTTTATATCTAAAAAACCCTAAAAAATAAGAAGGATAACTAACACTTAAATAATAATCAAATCATCAACTTACATGTCATTTAGTTCACAAAATTTAGTCTCCCTCGACAACTACACGTCGACACCTACCGACTCCAAGCCCAACTACACCCCCCCTTGACTCTATTGCCCATCACTTTTGTTCCCCAAGCACCCCAAATTTCCCCAATTCTCCTCCCCTTCAAGCCCAACACTTAATACTGATGGGGACGTCAATGTCAATCACTGAAGTTCTGGGAAAATGGGTTCCCTTAGAGCATCTCCAAAGGAGATGTCAAAATCCTAGGTGGAATGCCACTGTGCATATTTGACATCAAAACTCTCTCCAACCAAAGTGTTATTTGCTGACTGGATTTGAAGGCTTAGAGCATCTCCAAAAGAGACGTCAATTTCAAAACACCAAATTTTAATTTGATGGCTGACTTGGTAATTTGACATATCGTCAATATTTTTTCCTTCCACCCGATATGCCAAAATTTATTGCTTCATTTATGTTTTTTTTTTAACAAAAATAATAAAAGTTGGGTTGTTGTTGGTTTAAGAATGATAAAATATACTTAAATATGCTAGCATTTAAGGTAAGGTGAGTAGAATGCCTTTGGAAATAGCAAAAATCATTTTTGAAGGCAGCTTCAAATTTGACATCTATTTGCCTATGTCAGCTTAGCCTTCTTTTTCATGTCAACTTTGACATCTCGGTTGGAGTAAATGATATGTCATTTGTTATATGTGGCATTTTGATATCTCATTTGGTGATGGTCTTAGATCATCTCCAAAGGAGATGTCAAATTTTGAACATAAAATTTAAATTTTGACTACTTATGTGGCACTTGACATCTTTAAAAGTTTTGTTCTCCAACCGATATGTTAAATTAAATTATTATTTTATTATTTTATAAAATAAATTATTAAACTAATTAAAATTTAATAAAGGACCTTTAAAGGTTAATTGTTCACCTTCCTTAATTGAAAAGAAGAAAAAAGTAGGATAATTGCATCAGTCAACTCAACATTAATTATAATAAATGATTAAACTAATTAAAATTTAATAAAATACATTTAATAATTAATAAAAAAAAATTTGAAGCTGTTGTCAAATTTGACATCAACCTCGTGTGCTGCCAATCTATGTCATCGCCACATAGGATTTGGCACTTCGGTTGGAGAATATTAGTTTGGTTTTTTTTTATTGCTATAGCTGATGTGTACATTTTAGCATCTCCTTTGGAGATGCTCTTAGTGATTTAGAGTCAAATTTGACATCAATGTCAAATTTATTTTTAATTCATTTTAATGGTGGGTCCCTTATTCCACTAACATTTCAACCAATAAAAATTTTGTTTCAACATTTTTTTTAATAATTACAACCATTTAAAGTTCTATTTAAGTAATAAAATAACATTTGACCGTTTGGTTGAGAAAGTACAAAATTTGACATAAGACTTTAGATTACCACATCAACTATCAATTGTAATTTGATTCTTATAATTTAACATCTTATTTGAAGATGGTGTTAAACCATCTCCAATGGAGATGTCAAATTTTGAACCTAAAATTTAAATTTGACAGTTTATGTGGTATTTTGACATATTTCATGTTTTACTCTCCACCCGATATGTCAAATTAAACTATTATTTTATTACATTTTTTTTCTTAATTTATGTCTTATACTTTAAATTTTACATATAAATAATTCACAATAAAAGTCATATTAATTTCTGAGCCTTCGAAGCATCGGCGTCAAACCGTAATCCGAACCCCCCACTTTTCATGGTGTTGGAGTTGAGCTCCATGGCAGATGGGTCTTCGTCATTGAGAATCTGGGTGGGTAGCCAAAATGTAAGGTCGTCTAACATATCAGCCATATGGGTAGTCCTTGAAATAGCCAAGAAAACTAGAGAGAGAGAGAGTGAAGTGGAGAAAAGAGTAGAGAGAGAAAGTGGGGTTTGATGGGTTTGAGATATGGGGGTTTTGTTGCTTGGTGAAGGTATAATAATGGGCAAGCCAGCTGGGTTTTATGGTCCTATAGAGAGACTTACAGGGACCCAACAGATATGGAGAAGTAGCGGTTAGTGAGAACGAGAGAACGAGAGAACAAAGGAGGAAGATATCTCTGGGACGATTAGAGGCTTTATTGAAAGTTGAGAGGAAGCCCCTAATAAATGACATTAAAATATTAATAAAAGACATTTAATAATTAGTAAAAAAAAATTGAAACTGCTGTCAAATTTGACAACAAGCCCCTTTGCTGCATTCCATGTCATGCCACATAGAATTTGGCATTTCGATTCGAAATACTTAGTGACTGTCTTTTTTTACTATTATAGCTTATGTGGACAATTTAACATCTTCTTTGAAGATACTCTTACAATTCATCTTTCGTCTTTAACTCTCTTTTTACCCAATCCGTTCCAAACTTTTGTTTTTTCTTTTGAATTCTTTTTTTTTATTATTTTGTTTTTTCTTTCTTTCTTTGTTTTGTTGTATTTCCCCATGTAAAGAGATGGGATTTTGTCAAAAAGAAGATACTTCCTATTTGAGGACAAATCTGACAAAACGCGTTTGCATCATTTTGATCAATATATAAATTGTCACCTCATTCTTGCATTGTATGCACTTTCATTTGTTTTTACTTATCATATACATCCAGTCAAAAATTATAAACAATATCGTATACAAATGCAACACAAACTCGGTCGAAAAAGAAAAGTCTACGTGGAGAGTATTATGATTTGACCAATTAGAAATTGGAGGTTATCTATGATACAATGTTGTACGTATGTTAGTGTAATAGAAAATACGCATGTTAAATAATGCTTAATAATAATTTAATCATCAATATTTACATAATTTAATATACAAAATTTAAATTAGATATTTAGTGTCCTTAGCTTACTTTTTCTATATTCTCTAAGGAAGAGGAAGACTGAACTTATTACATTAGCACAACTATTATATACTATACATTGTACACACAATTTTCTTAGAAACTGAGATGAAGCATTATATACATATAGAGGGGAAGAGACTCTAATCACGTCTTTTACACTGGATTAGAAATGAGTTTGATTCTTATTTTTGAGTTTAATATATTGAACTTATAAGTGTAGTTTCTACACAAATGACTCACGGTGATTTCAATGTAACAATAGTGTAATCACTCATAAAACAAAACAAAAAAAAAAAAGAGTGGTTGAAAAATTAAAGTCAAGGAGATGATCAAAGACTACAAAATTTCCTACCTTCCACGCTGTTTCCAATATGAAGAACATGTCAAACTGTTAGTAGATAGAACTCGATATATGAATTAAAAAGGACACAGAGAGAGAGAGAGGAAGATGCCCGGTAATTTAATTTGTTTAACCGAGTTTGATTATGTCTTATTCAGCACAGTTGACAAAAAAAAAAACTCAAACTATATAACTAAGCTGAAGCGGAAAGCAATAAAACAAAACCAACATTTCATCAACTTCAAAAATTTAGTCTGCAGTTCCAAGACAGAAATGGCTGAGCATTTACAGAGAAATCACGGTGTCGTTTTTAAATCGGCGGTGGCTCTGTTGGTATGTGTTCTGTGCTTGATTATTGAGGTTCCAGTTGTGGAGGGTAGAATTAGGCATTACAAATGGGAGCTCAAGTACGAGTACAAGTCCCCTGACTGCTTCAAGAAACTGGTTATAACCGTCAATGGCATAAGTCCTGGGCCGACCATACATGCCCAGCAGGGCGACACAATCATCGTTGAGGTTACTAACAGTCTCGGGACAGAAAATACCGCCATACATTGGCACGGAATCCGACAGGTACGTACCTAGCTAGTACACATACAATCGTCGGTTTTGTTTGATTTTTCGTGTTTAGGTGTTAACCCTTTGCTATGATGCACGGATACTTTTGTTTGATCCCGTATCCAATACTTGATCGGATACGATACTTGCCTAATATTCTTGGATACTCGTCCGACACGTATCCTGGTTGATGGTCACGAATTTGACATGATGGATACACATATTCTACATTTCAAATACACATATCCGGCTATCCGGCTTTTAGGATACATTTCAACTTTCAAAGAAGGTAATGAGGAGGAGAAAATTAATAGGAGACATCTATAATTGAGCGTTGCTGAATACGAGTTCCCTCTAATTAAAACCATGAATACGACTCTCACACTTCTTTTACTTGTTGAGAGTTGTTCCACATCGGTGAGGGACAAGGTATGCTATGTGCTTATATGGTCTTGGGTTACTTCCCATGCCAATTGGTTTTATGGTGGAATCTCAATTTCATCATGGTATCAGAGCGGGTTGTCTTCATGTGAAGCCAAATGGCCACACCCGCTCCACGTCACCCAATTATTGTTCACGTGTAGGCTTGAAAATCCGCCACACGTGCGGGAGCGTGTTGAGAGTTGTTCCACATCGTTGAGGGACAAGGTTTGCTATGTGCTTATATGATCTTATGCTACTTCTCATATTGCCAATTGATTTTATGGTGGAACCCCAATTTTATCACTATTGTATAAAGAGATTTAAACTTTCTCTAACAACTCAAATGTACTTGAATTTGACTGATGAATTATGTTTTAAAATGTATATATTGTTGCTATATACATTTTTATTTGCTGTATCCATAGCGTATAGTATCTTAATGTTTAGAGATTTTCCGTATCGCCGTGTCGTGTCGTGTCGTATCACCGTATCCGTATCCGTATCCATGCTTCATAGATCCTTTGCTTCTCCTTAAGTTTCTCTCGTGACGTCAAGGTGTCTTTTGAAAGAAATAGAAAACAACGTGACTGGTTTGTGTATATTTGTGTTTTATGTTGCAGATTGGAACACCGTGGTATGATGGAACCGAAGGGGTGACTCAGTGTCCAATACTGCCTGGAGATACCTTCAAGTATCAGTTTGTGGTTGATAGGGTAATTAAAAGTTAATTATATTATATATTATCCATAGACTGTTGCTTCTTGTTCTTGAATTGGATTAAAAATTATACTTGAATTTATAATGACTGATTCACATATATAACTAATAAATTTCAATTAATTAATTTGCAGCCTGGGACATACCTGTACCATGCCCATTACGGAATGCAAAGAGAAGCTGGCATATACGGTTCAATCCGCGTAGCACTTCGAGATGGACAATCCGAGCCCTTTGCTTACAATTATGATCGAAGCATCATACTCAATGACTGGTACCACAAAACCACTTACGAACATGCCGTTGGGCTGTCCGCGCCCATCCATAAGTTTGCCTTTGTTGGGGAACCTCAGGTCATTACGTTACTGCATTCCTCTACAACTATAAACATTCACTTTTATTTTGGTAACAAATGCTAATGATTTTTCCTTTTCGATCTGTATAAAATTTCAGTCGCTTCTGATACAAGGTAAAGGAAGATTCAACTGCTCTTCTCTGACTACTCCAAGCTTAGATCCCGGTGTTTGTAACGCAAGCAACCCCGAATGCTCTCCTTATGCAATGACAACGGTCCCCGGCAAAACTTATCGACTCAGAATTGCTAGCTTGACTGCTCTATCAGCCCTCAGTTTCCAAATAGAGGTAGTTTAATCAACCTTGATACATATAAGTATGTGAATTAATTGTGGCCTTAATTACTAGCATGTACTAAATTAACTTCAATTCTCGTCTCCATAATGCAGGGCCATAACATGACGGTGGTGGAAGCGGACGGGCATAACGTTGAGCCATTCACCGTAAAGAACCTCTTCATATATTCCGGTGAGACATACTCTGTGCTAGTAAAAGCAGACCAAGACCCTTCAAGAAACTATTGGATCACAACCAATGTGGTTAGCCGCAATGCCACCACGCCACCAGGTTTGGGCATTTTCAATTACTATCCAAACCATCCTCGGAGGTCTCCTCCATCCGTACCACCAGCAGGCCCTGCTTGGAACAACATTCGCGCTCGACTGGATCAAAGTCTTGCCATTAAGGCACGCCAAGGCTTCATCCACACGCCTCCTGCAACTTCAGACAGAGTGATTGTGCTTCTCAACACACAAAACACCGTCAACGGCGTTGTCCGGTGGTCGGTGAACAATGTGTCCTTCAATCACCCTCACGCGCCTTATCTGATTGCCCTCAAAGAGAATTTGACCGACGCATTTGATCAAACACCTCCACCCGATGGGTATGACTTTGTAAATTACGACATTTACAAAGTACAAAACAACACAAATGGAACCACAAGCAATGGAATTTACAGGCTCAAGTTCAATACAACAGTGGACATAATACTGCAAAATGCAAACACCAGGAACGCAAACAACAGCGAGACGCATCCATGGCATCTTCACGGGCACGATTTTTGGGTGCTCGGACACGGAGAGGGAAAGTTTGACATGTTCAATGACCCAAAAAAGTACAATTTGGTGAATCCAATCATGAAGAACACGGTGCCGGTTCATCTTTACGGATGGACAGCATTGAGGTTCAAGGCAGACAATCCAGGGGCGTGGGCGTTTCATTGCCACATAGAGTCTCATTTCTACATGGGAATGGGTGTGGTGTTTGAATCAGGCATAGATAAGGTGGGAAAATTGCCTTCCTCCATTATGGGCTGTGGTCAAACCAGAGGAGTCCACAGGCCATAGTCAATAGAACATTTGATTTGGGTGATCCGGTAAATATCACAAACAAAGAGGTTATAATGAAAGGAGGAGAAAATTAAGAAACAAGTATACATTTTTATTGTAAAAATCCAGCTTAGGGTTGAAATGTCCCAAAATTTTTAACTGTATTGTATTTGTACCTATATGTAAATCTTTACTAAGTAACTAGCTTATTTTGAAAGGAAATGATTTCTGAACTCCTTTTTAGTTCACTTCCCGCAAAGTTTTTTTTTATCCATTATATTTAACAAATAATGAAAATTAAAGGAAAAAAAAAGGGGTGTGTAGAAAGCTTCTTCTTTTGAAAAGTGAATCCTTGTTACCTATAACTTGATTTATCGATGTTCACACTTCATTTTTATTAAAGGAAAAATTGACACACGTCAACTTGGATATCTAGGTGGACACCAAAATCAAGGTGTGATAGCCGACATCTGAGAGTGCACAATGCAGATATACCCATATTACAAATTATGTAATCGTCAAAGCATAGCAATAGTGGAGTAAAAGTAAGAATATTCTCATCCTGGTAAGATGGATATTACACAACTACAAGAATTAAAATTTCCTACATTTATTGGCTTGGATGTCAAAACCACCAACGAACCCTTGCTGACCATATAAATCCAGCTATGAACTCTAGAGGGATGCAAAACATAAAGTGTGAGTGGGCAAAAATAAGGGTTTAATAAAAGGAAAACTAATGAAAAGGGCTTGAAAACTTTGAGTTTTAATGATAAGGACAAAATAAAGGGTAAAGTGAATAGTACCAGGATTGACTTTTTAGTGTAAAAATGTGGTTTTTCGTTAAAGTGAACAGTATCGGGTGCTTTTCGTTAAAGTTCCCTTTAATAAAACCTTGTTTTTCTCAACACAATATCTCTTCGCTGTAAAACCCGCATAGTTTCCAAAATCATAATACATATAAGTATAAAAATCAAATACCGTATAAAATAATTAACTCCAAGTATACAGTAAACCACAATACCTCAGCAATATAAAATAATATGTTTGGCTCATGTCATACTACGTAATAGTATGAAAATCAATTATCGTAAAATTTCAATTTTTAAATGTACGATAAACCATAACATCTCAACTATATAAAATAGCATGCTCATCACAATTATACAAACACACAACGTGATGCAGAACGTAGCTACATGGATCAGGCTAGGTGTAATAATCTACGCATAAGTATTACATATGCATAAAGTTGGCGCTAAGCGCATCACATATGAGTCCTAGTTGCCTATTGCAAACTAGTATAGGCTAGCACCTTCAATGGATCCATAATGAGCGTAACAATGCAATATGAACATACACGTGAAGTTGGCCTTGGCTCATACGAGTACTATAATCACCGGTGTAAGCATGAATTGAACAGATAAAAATATGTATAAACATGCCATAATAGTCCCATAAATCTCAACATCCTCAATAAATACTTATAATCATAAGTAAAAGTGTGGCACGGTATAAAAGCATTCATCAAAACTAATCAGTGGAAACTATATATATATATATATATATTGTCTTCAGAGTCTTCCTCTTATAGACTTAGAAAAGGAGAATTGAATGATTGAGTTCTATACTGTTGAAGCACGGGATGGAAGATGACTTGTTTCTACTGTTGATAAATAGTGAACTTGTCGAAATAATTTTTGCTTTTACTGTAGAACGTGCTAAGTGATTCCTGTTGACTAATTGATTCCTTGCTTTTACTATGCAAATAACATCTGAATGATTCACATGGTGTCTTGAAATGATGACCGAATTCTTCACATGGTGACTGGCATGGTGACTGGCTGCGTTCACATGGCTTGACTTGTTGATTCAAATGGCTTTATCAGTCAACAATCCAACCCATAACAGAGTCATCCAGTTTGCTGATAAATTCTCAGATGAAATCATTGACAAAACTCAACTCCAAAGAGTTCTAGGATCGTTAAATTATGTTGCAGAATTATACCCAAAATTGAGAGAACAATGCAAACCATTATTTGACAGGCAAGACTAATCCCCCATCTTGGTCTCCTACTCATACTTTCATGGTCAAACAAATCAAGTCTCATGATATTACCTTGTCTTGGTATTCCTACATTCAATTCATTCAAAATTGTTGAAATGGATCCCTCTGAAATTGAAGGAAATTTTGTGAAAAACATGTTCATTTAAGCAACATCTATAGCATGCAATTAACAATTAAAAGGCGGAATCATGCTTGTATGCACTTAAAAACAAAACATTAACCATGAAATTCAAAGCCTAGTAGATTGGTGAACCTTGACTCAACTTAAACAACATTTGTTAGTTGAGAAATTATACCTTTGTAGATTCCTCTTTGCATAAGCAAAGGCTAATCACCCAAAGAGAGGGCCTTCATTCCTTGCATCTTAGATCTAAGGATTTGGATGGATGAAATGGTTCTCCAAGTTCCCAAAATTGAGAACCTCTAAGTCTCTTCACCAAGGTTAGATTGGAGAAGAAATGAGTGACCTTGGAGTAGTAGGATTGCTAGCTACACCCTCCAAGGAGGCCGGCCTCTTTAGAGAGAAAGGGAGATACATGTTCTCTCCAATTTTCTCCAAAAGAAACCCTAAATGAATTTTGGCTATAAAGTCATATTTATACCTTAATTCATTGGAGTGGCAAACTTGTAAATAAGTCCAAAACTCACTCCATCTCTAAATGGCCGGCCTTAGGGTATTATTGGGCTAAATGGGCCTTTGTGAATCATTATTCATTAAGTTGTCATACAACTTAAGTCAATGGGCTTGACGTTCGAAACCCATTGGGCCTTAAGGTCCAAAACTATCCCGAGGTCTTTAACGAACTTATTCGTTTGATTAATTAACATATTAATTAATCATTGGCATAAATAATTAAACCATTTAATTATTCTTACTCATCTCCATTGTTTCTTCAATCTCCACCTTACACGGTGTACGATCCATTAGGTTACTTTTAGCGAGGCAATGGGCGATTAAAACAATTTCAAATCGATTGAGAATTGAAACTTACTTTCAATTCTCCCTTTAGTGATTATACACATTTAGGGCTTCCACAAACATGAGTGACACCTAGCAGCATATCATGGTTACCCAAGCTAATCAGAAGAGGTGGAGAATGATAGGAGCATATTTATGCGACTTAGTTGGCTTGTTCTTGTGCATTTATGTCGTGTTTCCTTAGTTATTTTAATGCTTAAAGTCATTTTCGTGTGTTTTCAAATTTTAAGGACAAAATAGGCAAGAAGATGCATTTTGGAGCATTTTGGAGCAAAATGGAGCTTGGAATGCATGTCACATATTTGGAACCAAGGTTTGGACGAAATTGAAGACTTAAAGAGGCTAAGAATGTGAAGAATTAGTGTACAAAGGATCAAGAACTCAGCCACAAAAGGACACACATCCTTGCCGTGCAATCCACATAGCATTCCCTTTGGATTCCCATGCATGCTTAATCATCCTTGTCCCCTAAAATATTTCTGATTTCATGCCTCAATACACTCAATTATCACACTCAATTGCTGCATACCTCTTGTTCCCTTCACCCATCAGATTTCACAACCATTCCATGCACCAATTGATGCTCCATCATCCACATTTGGGATCCAATGCCTTGTGCAACACATGTTCCTACACCTTTAACTAATTTCTGAAACATTTCACCTCCCCTTTTCATTTCCATGCAATGAACACAATCATTCATGCTCCCTAGCTGAAATACCACTCCATTTCACCCTCCATACTTTGCATCATTGCTCCATTTTCATCCTTGGACCATTGCACACCACAAATTCACCCTCCTTGCTGTGCATTTCCCCACTGCCTAATCTGATTCTCTAGGGTTTTTGGGGCCTATATATACATGTTTACAACCCTTGGCAAAGGGTTGAACCTCCCATATTCATCATTCATGCAGAAAATTCGTCCATACTCACCCTAGGCAGCAAAACACCCCAAAAACACCATTCTAGTGCCCAGAAAACATAACAGCCACTCCACCTTATTCCACCATCTTTGCCGAGTTCTCTACCACCCTCCAACCATCAAACAAACACTCCTCCACACTCACCCTAAACCTTTCCATACCATTCCTCATCCATTCTACACCATAAAACTACCCAAAACCTGTCCATAACCCAATCTGCCGCAAGCAAGGGAAAGGAGGAATCTTGGATGCACTTGCTGCCAAGTTGGAGCATTCTAGGTGTTTTCTTTCTTTGGATTTTAATGTCTAATTCATGTAATCTTTGTTTTGCTTTAAGTATGATTGGCTAATTTCGTTTTTGGCTAAGGGTGTATTCAAAACCATATATATGTGAAATGAGTTGATTACTTCCAGTTATTGTTACATAAGTCGTGAATACAATTTGCTTAACCATTTGATTTAGAACTTATTCTTGTATGTTGATTGAGAGTGCACGCTTAATTTGCATGCTTGAATTTGATGCTAAGATATAAATTTGTTTCACCTAATCGTTATGAATTTATATTCGTAAGTAGTGAAGGTCGCTAGTCACGATCGTGTTAAGTAGATTCCTGGCAAGAGTATCATGCTTTTCATAGTTACGAATGCCTTGTCGATGCTTATGATTTCCAAAGAACGTAATGATTCTAACTTGTGTCTTTATCATGCTGTTCATATAAAGAACTTGTTAGGAATAATTTGTTTGCGATGCATATTCATCCAATTCAATGATCCTAGGGAAATCTGAAGGTTAATTTAAGCGGACCTAATTAACTTGGAGTGTTGAGGTTCATAACTTATTGAATTGATAACTGGAAATTGATTTACGTTGCATATATTTCATGTGTGGAGAAGAACCCCTTAGCCATTCCACCATCCATTGATTCTTCATAACTTTGTATTACAATCTGTTTCTCTTACAATCTGCCATTTAAGTTTATTTTCGTCCAAATCAAATCCCCAATTATTTTGAATTCCTAGATTAATTGGAAAGTGTGTTGGTTTATGTTTTTAGGTGTTTTAGGTCACTAGGAAACCAAAATTCGTCCAAGTTGAGTTAGAGTCCCAAAATTGCCCAGAAAGTGGTTTTTAGGCAGTTTTGAGTGTTTGGTTGCTGTTTTGATTCTTTTGGTTCGTTTTAGTATTTTAACGTGAGTTTTGCATTCTTTGAGTCTAATCTAGTGCTTTAAACTTTGTTTTTACATTTCTAAGTCAGTTTTCAAGTGTTTAGCAATCCCTCATAATCCCCGGTCTAGAACGATCCCTATTTACATACTTTGCTACAATTGATAAAAAGAGGGTTTAATTTTGTGTGTTAACTTATTTTTCACATCAGAGAACCTATTCAGTTTAGGATTACAAATGCAATACGGTCTTTCTCTAATACAATACTCTTGACCACATTGTTTGGTTTGATAGTTTATTCATGTCTACTATCCAATGTGATTCGTTTACTTATATGATTACCTTGAATGTGATTTGGAATGACTTCCTAAATCTCATTCATACTCTGGCCAGAGATTCTTAATCATATCATAGAGTATTCTCCCTCAAACAGTTTGAAGGTTAGAGATCCCTTGTTGCGCATTCACTTGCCTCCATGGCTAAGTGGCTTAACCCTAACTATGCCGTGGACACCCTCCTGATGGAGTGACTTTGACATAATCAAAGATCAAGAACTTAACCACAAGACAACTATGATGCCTCAGGTCAAAGGACTACTTTGCATTATCCCAACCATGAGTTCTCATGTGACATGACTATGAGAACTCCTCGTTGATCGTGTCAGTTGACTCATTCGTTATTGAGCACCTACATGTTTGTCTTGGTGTCAATCACACCAATGAGTCCAGACTAGTCACTCTCACTAAGAGAAGACATAGCATGTACTGATCTTAACGGACTGTCAATGCCCAATTGGCAATCCTATGATCAGGAACGTTTAGGATATGTATACGAAAGAGAATGGTCTCAGTAATCTAACTTGTTTAAATCACATTCTCCTAATTACATATTCCTTGGACTTATCGTTTAAGCATATAACATTTATATGAGACAGCTTAAACAATAATCTTTGCCCTTGATATTAAACTAGATTAGTTTAACATGTGAAATGTCCGTAAAGTATCATCATATGATTGGTTTTAGGGCACATTTCCAACAGAAATTGGTTACAGAGGTATTCTTAGACAGTCAACTCATCTCGGTTCTCCTGAACAAATTGTTTGTTTCCATTCAAGAGTCTGAAATTCAACTTAAAGTAATTATAGTACTATTAAAAAGGAAATATTATCTATAATACTATACATATCAAAATTTCATGATTATGATTGGTAACATAATTATTAGCAACCATAGATACATGTTGTAATTTGTTTAGAATTTCTTGTTCGAATAAACCATTTATATTCTATTCATAGAGTTTATCTGCCGACATTGATCAGAATTGACTTTGGAAATTTCTTTCTTCAAATTGAATATCCAGAGGTGTTGGCCTTGGATGCCAATTATTGGCAAGACTGGTTGGAATTATTTTGCCTTTGTTTGTTATTCTTTTCAATTCGAAATTTTGGAAAACTTCTTCCAATTTTTCAATTGCGTTAGTGTCTTCTGATTCTAAGTTTTCAGATGTTGTTTTGTGATTCTTGGTGTCTTACTACATTAATGGTGTTTTGTTCCCTTTTTAATTCCTTCAACATTTGGTCTATTTTTTCACAAGTAGAGTTTGTTTTTAGAGAGAGAGAGATATATATATATATATATATATATATATATATATGTGTGTGTGTGTGTGTGTGTGGCCTTTGAAATCAGTAGAATGAAAAACAAAGCCCACTCACTAATATATAGTTGGGCCGTAGCCTCATTGCCTTGCTTGGCCTTTGAAATCCTCTGGATAGTTTTCCGAAAGTAAAACCATATTTACTTCGAAAATTAGTTGAAAACTATGAAAATGAATAATAAACAGAGCTCAAATTACTGCAATCCGGGTCCAAAAATCCCTGATCCCCACCCTACGCACTGCCATGCGCCTACAGAAGGTCGCCACATACGGGTGGCTAAAACTGTCACCAAAAATGAAATATGCCGTCACCAAACAAAATATTTTGTTACCAGAAGTGCATTTTTTGTCACCGGAAGGAATATTCTGTTATAGTTAAT